AGGACTAAACCAGGAACTAAACCAGAACTAAACCCAGACTAAACAAGGACTAAACCAGGAACTAAACCAAGGACTAAACCAAGACTAAACAGGAACTAAACCAAGACTAATCCAAGACTAAAACAGGAACTAAACCAAGACTAATCCAAGACTAAACAAGGACTAAACTAGGAACTAAACCAAGACTAAACCAGGATTAAACCAAGACTAAACAAGGACTAAACCAGGAACTAAACCAGAACTAAACCAGGACTAAACCAAGACTAAACAAGGACTAAACCAGGAACTAAACCAGGACTAAACCACATCTACTTCAGGACTTAAACTGGTCTCAAATCTGGACCAAACCAGGACAAGTGTGAACTTAATTGGAACTAAACCTGAACTAATAAATGTGTAAGTTTTCTGGTGAAGGGGCCACCACCTGCTTGTCTCCATGGAGAGATACGGATCAGATCTGTGGACAGTCCATTAATCACAGTTATAATGCAGGTTTTCAAGGTATTTTCTTTAACCATTAAACACCAGTGTTTAAATTAATGCAAAACTGATACGCTCTATGCAAAGCAGTAACATATCCATGGAGTCTAGGCAGCAGCGACAATAATGGGGGCTTTAAAATAGCTTTGAATTCAACTCAGTATATAAACTTTGCTATCGATAAAAACCTTATTATAACCTGTGGAGCTGTGGAATTTGTTTAGGGAACTTCCTGTGACTATTTAAAGTGCAGGCGATCCTTTGGTGATGTAATCCAGTCTGTTTTTAACTCTGTCTCTCTTGGACTGTCTAGTGTGTTACAGAAACGGATCCTTTGACAAACACAATAAAGTATTACAAGATTAAAGGTGTTATGTGTTGGATTTAAAGGTGCGTTGTGTAACATTTCTTTTTTTTATATAATTTTTTATTTTTTTTTCAATTATACAGAACAAAATTAAACAAAACAGAAAAAAAACAAACATAGAGGAGAAGAGTGCCGTTACAGTCGTTCAATGAAATATCAATCAAGATGTATGTACGCTAATAATTTTCAAATAAAGTCCGATCTGATAGGTTTTACATACTCAGTCCATTTGGTCCATGTTTCATAAAATAAGTCCCTTTGGTTCTGGAGGGTGAAAGACAGCTTTTCCATCACATAAATCTCAAAAACTATTTCTATCCACTCCTCTATTGATGGAGGATCCGCCCTCAGCCATTTTCTTGTAATGTTTTTTTTTTGCTTGCTATAAGTAGGATTGCTAATAACTTTTTATCATCACTTCCCCAATTCTGGACATTAACATCTCCCAAGTATAAACACTCAAAGCTAAACATCAATTTAGATCCAAAAACATGGTTTATATGACTCCAAAATCTGTGTTCAGTAAAATTTCAGAACATTGCAATCCCAAAAAATATGATAGTGGTTCACCCCCGATGAGCCACAGAGTCTCCAACATGAATCCCCATTCCCCTGGTGTCTTTTTTGAATGGGTGTGATAAAAACCTGACAATATTCTTCCATCCAAACACTCGCCATATATTAGATAATGTTGTCTTCCATTGTTATTGATAAATTCTTTCCCAGCATTCACTTGAAATGTTCAGATTACCTTCAATTTCCCACCTTTTCTTAATGTATTCTGTATTACCTTCTTTACCTTGTTGAATTGCTTTATACAATTTAGATATTATATTACTCTGAGACATTGATTTTGTTAATGTTAGAAGGGTCAATATGAATCCCATATCGCCGTTTTCCCATATACTTTTCATGTTTTGGTCAAAATGATGTCTAATCTGTAGATATCTGCAAAAGTCTTCCTGTTCTAATCCATTTTGCCCCTTTAATTTGTCAAAGCTCAAAAATACCCCCTTGTGGATCAAAGAGTAGTATGACGTCAGACCCTTTGATATCCATGTTTTAAACCTATTATCATGAGTATTTGGAGGGAAATCAGAGTCATAGGCTACCCGTCTTAATATTTTTGATTTTTTCTCCAATTCACAAATTCTAAGAACTCCATCCCAACTTTTCAAGAGGGATTCATACATAAAATCCTCTGTTATGTTAACATTGTTTTGTAATTTTTTTATCAGCCAATAGTGCTATAATTGGAACAGTTTCCATCTCAATACTTTCCACTTCTTTCCAGCTTGCAGAATAGGCTGGTGAACATAAACATACCAAAGGTCTGAGTTGAGCCGCGTAGTAATAGTCCTGAAAGCATGGGAGCCCGAGCCCACCCCTCTCCTTCCTGAGTTGCAATGTCTTATATTTAATTCTAGCCCTTAGTGTTTAGTTAGTGTTTAGTTTTGGTAGAGATTGTGAAGGCTCAGTCAGAAATATCAATATGTCATCTGCAAATAGAGCAAATTTTTGTACACCTGATTTAAGGGTAACTCCTTTAATTTCTGTGTTTTTTCTTATAAATTGGCTTAAGGGTTCAATAAATAAAGCAAATAAAAGTGCAGATGCTCCACAACCCTGCCGAGTCCCCCGTTCCAAAATGAAAGATTCAGTTAAGTCTCCGTTAATTTTTATTCTTGCAGTTGGCCTGTTATACAGAGCAGCAACCGTGTCAATAATATTGGAATCAAAGCCAAATTTAGCCATTACTCTGGTCACTATCACTCAGGTGAGTTTCCTGGATAAATGCCACCTGGACTTTCTCCCTTTTCAATTGTGACAACATTTTTGATCTTTTAACTGGATTGAGCATGCCATTTATATTAAGTGAAATAAATTTTACAGATCAGGATGACATCTGACTGTATCAACAAATGGTAACATCTTTAAGCATGGCACTGCCCTCTCTGCACAGAACAACAGAGTGTAAATCACAACAACCAGAACTGAACAAAAAAAGAACTTGACTCCCTGTGCTGGGGTCAATGTAACAGACCCTCTTATGTCCCAGGGGGCGCTTCAAGGCAAAAGCCCCACTCCTGTCGACAGTGCAGGGGATCCTTGCGGCTGTATCAGTATTATGAAAACTCTCCGTTGCAGAACCCTCAATATTTCAATAGTTTTACTCACCCAGTCATCTCAATCTAATGCTTTTTCAATCAGGGGGAAACAAACCCGAATCCTCCCGGTCTTGAGCCTTTATCCTGTACTTGGGCCAGGGGACGTTCTCCGGAGTGCGCGCAGCTTCTCCCTGTAGTTGATGTCTCGCTCGGGGTCAGGTGCATTCTTCTTCGTGCGTCGGTCCACGCGAGTCCAGGTCAGCTGTTGGATCCGCTCTATCAGTGATGCCGGTGTCGGTATGAGTTTGACTGCATATCCCCGCTTCGCGAGATCCTCCGCCGCCTCTGCTGCCGTATCGTATGTCTTGGTTCCGTCGCTGTGTCTCACGCGCAGCCGGGCAGGGAAGAGTGTCTGAAACCGAACATCTTTCTGTTTTAACACTTTACGGATCTCTGCATATTCTCTCCTCTTTCCAACAATGGCAGGTGGAAAGTAATGGTCCAGAGTAACTTGTTTATCTTTCCACTTGAATCCTTTCATTTGCCAGGATTTGTGAAGCACCATCTCCCTGGTCCGAAAGCTTAAAAACTTGACCACGACAGAACGAGGGGGAGCGCTTGGCGGCGGAAGAGGTCCCAGGGAGCGATGCGCTCTTTCGATGCCCAGTTCCAGGTCATTTGACAGCTGGAGACCCTCATGAAGTAATTTTTCAACAAATATGACCATTTCTGTCTCTTCTTTCTCCGCGTTCTCGCTGACACCGTATATTCTCACATTTTCGCATCTTCCTCGGGCCTGGATGTCAACCAGCTGCTCCTTCAGCTTTGAGCATAGCTTTAGCAAGCCAGTGACTACATCTTCAGATGTTTGAACCCGCTCTTTGACTTTTTCAATACGACTTTCGGCCTTCTCTAGTCTATTGTTGATTGAAGAAATGTCTCTTTTCAGCTCTTCGAATTGGTCCCTGCTTTCTTGTCGAAACTGCTTTAGCTTGTAGAAGATCTCGGAGTCCGCCATCTCGCCGAGCCAGTGCTAGTTAACCTGTAGTTAGCCGTGACCGCGGATCACAGAATCTGCGTCCCCCTCTGTCTCTCTTTTTTTTATTTTTTTTTAGGGTGAAATAATTCACGGTGACGTGTGGCCCCCTTTCACTACTTCAGATATGCATTAGTTCTCTTCTGAATGGGCCTTTTGTTAAGATTTGTCTGGTTCGGTTGGGAGCCTTCTGTGCTGCCAGCGTCTCGGTGTTCCAACCGGAAGTCGTTGTGTAACATTTCTAATTTTTAGCTTGTCTCCATGGTGATGTTATTGCTTTACCTGGGATGATTGACAGAGTGGCGCTAAATTGGTAAATATATTACTCAATTACGGATGGTTTTGTTTTTAAGAATGACTGAGTTGAACCAGAGTACATGGGCAGGAGTTGTATGTGAATGATTTAAGCAGAAGAAGCTGCTTCGTACATGTTAAAACAGAAATTTGACACAACTGGATGTTATACTGCTTTATGTGTATTGCCTAACTTTTGCTGTCTGTAATTTTAAGTTTAAAAAGTGGACTTAAATAAAAGTTTGTGTCTGTGCAGAGTTTGGTGAAGATGATTTCACATTAAAACTATTTTGGAGCCTGCACTCACGCAGCTGTGGAGATGAGCTGAGAGTCTGGCACAGATTTGAAGTCATTGGGACACACGGGTCTGGTCTTATCTCTTTGTATTAGCGTCTGTTCCATGAGGTTTTGAAATGTGTGAGTTTGGAAGAGCAGACGAGCTGAAGTAATAAAAGTGTGGATTTTAAACTGAACTCTAAATTAAAATGAGGTGTCCATATCTACAGAGACATTGCTCGAGCTTGGTGTTGATGACAGAGGTAGAGGGGTACAATTTTTAACTATTTTCTTCAACAAAATCACACCAAACAAGTAATAATTATAAACATGTGAAAATATGCGCGGAAATGGACTTTAATTTGCTACTGAAAAACAATATTGACCTCTCTCCCTCCCCTCCTTCTCCCCCTCCCTCTCCCCCTCCCTCTCTCCACAGTGATGCTGACCTGTCCGATGTTGTGTCCGACCCCGAGGACTGTGACGTGGGCAGTGTGGAGCGTCTGGAGTGCGTCGAGCGCGGCAGCACAGACACACTGGCCAATGGTTGCCGCGTCGACACAGAAGCGGCGAAGCGCCTCGCCAAACGCCTGTACCACCTGGAGGGATTCAAGCGCTGTGACGTGGCACGACATCTGGGCAAGAAGTGAGTGAGAGACAGAAAGACTACTACAGAAAGAGGGAGCGAGGGAGGGTGATGGAGAGAGAGAGGGAGGGAGACCTATATCACACAAAATTTACTCTTGTGAACTTTAAGTCATGTTATAATGTTGTTACCCACTCAAAAAAAAGTTTTGTTTCATTCACACATATTTGAGTAACCCCTTATTATTTGTCTGTCTACATCTCCAAAGCTCAGTGGTGGACAGTGTTGGGAAGGTTACTTTTAAAATGTAATCCCCTACAGATTACAGATTACATACCCCAAAATGTAGTTTGTAACGTAATCCATTAAATTACTTAAAGTGAGTAACGTAATCTGAATACTTTGGATTACTTGTATTGTCATGTTTTTTAAGACAACATGAATTTAGCAACCACATCCTGAAAATTCTTGTTTGTTCTCTTCAAATTGTCTGTTGAGCCCAAGTCTCCATGAACAGACTTTTGTTTTACTGTAGAGAAGCAAAGACCAGGAAATCTTAACATGAGATATTTGTTTTGTCTGCTTAAAGAAAATAAAAAGCCCAGTCTTTACTTAAACATATAAAAAATATTATTACTAGAGAAATTATTTCTATATGAAATCACTGCTGCCTTAAATTATGTCCACCTACTGTTAGGTGTCATATTGTTTAGACCAGGTTTAGTCCTGCTTTTAGACCTGGTTCAGTCCTGGTTTAGTCCTGGTTTAGTCCTGGTTTTAGACCTGGTTCAGTCCTGGTTTAGTCCTGGTTCAGTCCTGGTTTAGTCCTAGTTTAGTCCTGGTTTAGTCCTAGTTTAGTCCTGGTTCAATCCTGGTTTAGTCCTGGTTTAGTCCTGGTTTAGTCCTGGTTCAGTCCTGGTTCAGTCCTGGTTTAGTCCTAGTTTAGTCCTGGTTCAGTCCTGGTTTAGTCTTGGTTCAGTCCTGGTTTAGTCCTAGTTTAGTCCTGGTTTAGTCCTAGTTTAGTCCTGGTTCAATCCTGGTTTAGTCCTGGTTTAGTCCTGGCTCAGTCCTGGTTCAGTCCTGGTTTAGTCCTAGTTTAGTCCTGGTTTAGTCCTGGTTTAGTCCTGGTTTAGCCCAAAATGTGAAAACAGGAAAATCCCGCCGTGTAATCCATTTATTTCAACAAAGTAACTGTAATCTAATTACCACTCACTGAAACAGTAACTGTAACTGAATACAGTTACTCATAAATTGTACTCTGATTACGTAATCCCAGTACATGTAATCTGTTACTCCCCAACACTGATGGTGAAACAGAGTTTTTTCAGTTTTAAGGAAGAATTCAGCCTAAATATGCAGTGTTTCTGTTTTAAACATGTGAGAATGAAAAATAAATAAATAAATAAATAAATAATAATAAAAATGACACAACTATGTTTGTGATGAGGAAACAACGTTATAACATAGATCAGAACATTGCATAATATGGGTTCTTTAAAGATGAAAACCATTTTCAGATGCAGAAATCTTTGTTATATCATTAAAGCTGCTGTCATAAAGTTACTAGACAGACCCCTGACCAGTGTCTCCATCTTTAAAGTCTACCACTCCTTTTGTGGTTTTTACTTTGTGGAGATGTTCCTTTATTTTCAGAAACTCCATAAAATTATAAAAGAGTTGATTTCTGTTTGTTGCTTTGAGGTTGACGGGTCCATGTTTACATGTCGTCTCTGTTTATGACCAAAGGGTGGAGTTCTCATTTTCATGAGCTTATTTAAATCTTTATAGAATTTTTTGTAAAAGAGAACGATAACAATTATCAGCTTTAAGTAAAAATATTGTATTGCTTTTTTCTCTACAACTCTGTTTTTTTTATCATCTTTCGCTCTTGCGTTCTTGCCCTCTCCCTCCCTTTCTTTCTTTAGATAGATCTCTCTAGATAAATATAAAAATCACCAGCTTTAAGTAAAAAATATTGTATTGTTACTTTGTGGCTTAAAGCTGCAATGCATAACTTTACTGGTAGAGGGTCCTCCACCTGCTTGTATGGAGATGTTATTCCTTTAGACTGGAATGTTCTTATACAGTATGGCAATAAGCTTATTTATCTGCATGGAGACGTCACCAGGTCAAGTTACAGGTCAGATCTGTGAAGCGGGGACCCCTGTAACAGTAGGAATGCATGTTTCTATGGTATTTTTTAAATTTAATGATCCGTAACAAAATAAATGCTGGGTAGATGTTTAATACTGTACTGTGTAACATTCCAGGCAACACCATAACATTTCCTTAGAGACAAGCAAGTGACAGCCCCAAAAAGTTACGCAGTGCACCTTTAAGTAGTATCATATATTATTGGGAGTCAAAATATTATCATGGTGTAAACTTGACCTAATCACCATTCATTTATTTTAGTATTTTAGGGCTTGGTCAGTATGTTTTCAGATTAATTAATTCACATTTCATTTTCAGTTCAGTTTCAGTTTGGTTTTGTTTGTTTGCTTATATTTGAGAAATGTGAAGTGAACCCATTGCTCTGTCTTGTGCCTGCAGTAATGACTTCAGCCAGCTGGTGGCGTCAGAGTACCTGAGCTTCTTTGACTTCACAGGTCTCTCTCTGGACCGGGCCCTGAGGTAAAAATGACAACAGTTCTGTTTTGTTCTGATCTAAACACATCCAGAAGATTTGACAAAAGATATGAGGATGAAATATGAACTGACAAACATTTATAAGAAGCACTTTTGAAATTCAGAACATGTTTGTACAGATCTAAATTTTACGGTCAGCAGGTTTTATGCAGAATAAGAGAGATTTTGCTGTTTCTGGAGACTTTGCAAATTGGTAATTGTGTCCACTGAAAGTCGATTTGGTTGCAGCTAATCTTGGTGTACACACACACAGGAAGGACTTTATATTGTAAATCTAAGCTTTTTAGAGTAAATCTAAGCAAATTATGTCCCAAGCCTTATTAAAGATGCTGTACTTGATTAAATATTTGTTTTGTTTTGTTTTGCAGGAACTTCCTGAAGGCATTTCCTCTGATGGGGGAGACTCAGGAGAGAGAGAGGGTCCTGGTTCATTTCTCTAAACGGTTCTGCCAGTGTAACCCACAGACGCCCTCCTCACAAGGTCACACCTCTGCATGTACTCACGCACATACGTCATTTATCGTATTTTTCTTCTTCTGTTTTGGAGGTTTTCAGATTCCAGAATATGATGGTGTCGTACTCCCAGACAGATTTTACTGTTAATTACATACATTAATTACTTTTCCACAAAATATAAAAAAATTAAATGCATAAATGTTGAATCTGATCATTTCTATTCACTCCACATTTGGTGCATGTTTTGAGTCATTATCTGTTTGCATGTGTTCAAATAAAGTTTGTGTTTATTCAGGTTGATCTGTGTTAGTGATAAAGGCCAGATAGACAGTTTGCTAAAAAGTGCATAGATTGGTCTATCTCTAGCCTGTGGTGCCCTTTGACCTCACTCTAATTTACATGAAGAAGAGGAGGAGGATAATTAGAGTCTTAATGTGCTCGAGCTGCAAAACTGTGACCTTCATAAACGCACAGTCAGCGAGCACCAAACACAGGAGCAGCAGTGTGTCTGTGTGATGTGTTTGTATGGGATTCTGTTTAATGAAGTTACTACAGGATGACTCTGTACGGCTATTCTCTATTACCGATTTGTAATCAGTCAGTTTATTAGAACTATAACACAACAATTAGTCACTTTTTGGATCTGATTTGTATAAGAAAGGCCAGTATGTCTATGTAATGCATTTTCTTTTGGACTCTTAACAGTATTTAACATGGGGTGTCTTTATGGCTGATTTATATTAATTTAGTTAGTTCCTCAGTCACTTTGTAATGTAACGTAACAAGAATTAAATCTAAAAAGTTTATTGATGCACAAAACATTTAACTATTTTTTTGTGATGAGGGCACTTTTGACAATAACACATTTCATCTATGTATTATCTGAGCTATGTTTCAGAAATGGTATAGTCATATACATAGAACATTTAACATAATATGAAACACACCAACATACAATTCATGAACTCTTTAGTAAATGAGAAAATTTAAGACACTAGAAATCATAGACTGTAGTGTATGCAGTGAGCCTCATTATTTTGGTCTTAAAATGTTATTTATTTTTTTTTTTTACAATCTATGCTAGGAACACAATTATGACTTATACTGTATATTTATTTCACAAATCTTTCACAAGTCAAAGTGGTATAATAATACAACCAACCACCTCTGCTTCTGAACTAATTTTATGAATGTGACCTTTGACCTTTGAATGTTGTTATTGTTTCAGATGGCGCTCACACTTTGACCTGTGCTCTAATGCTGCTCAACACGGACCTCCACGGACACGTATGTATTTATGATAATCCATTAAAGGTGCACTGTGTAACTTTTCTAATGAAAGATCTTTCACCTGCTTGTCTCCATGGAGACGTTATTAGTCTGCTTGGAATATTCAGCAGTCTGGCATTAAATTGATCTATGGAGAGTAGCACACGACACCACTTGGCCATGTCACAGGTCAGGGTATTTTACCAGCAATAAAAAACATCTGTAATATATCAAATAGAATAAATACCTAATACTGCAGAACTTTTCAGGCAAAGCAATAACATAGCAATAATCAGGTGGCTTACTCCTCATAGGAAAAGTTACGTATTGCACATTTAAATTATTCTGAACGTCTGTATCTTCTTCCCTTATGCCCATCTTTGTGATGGCTCATTGTTCTGTTCATATTTCTGGTTCTTGAGTATTTCTCTCTTCTCCCCTCTCCTAGTCTCTCTCTCCTTCTTTCTCTTTTCCCTCTACGCCCTTTCTCATCCTCTCCTCTCTTCCTTCATCTCTCTCTCCCCACTTTCTCTCTTCTTTTTGTCTTTCTTTCTCTTCCGTCCTACTTTGTGACCTGTTTCTGTCTCTTCTCGAAAACACTGTTCCAACTGGAGCACTGCTGTGTTCTGAGTCAGACTGGGGAGTTTTACGGTCCATTTGTTTCATGAAATCCTGGTTAAGTTCTGGCTTAGTCGTGCTGTTAGACAGATTTTCCTGGGTTAGTTCTTGATCCTGGCTTAGACTTGGTTTAGCCTTTGACTAGACTTAATGCTGTCTGCATGAAGTTAGACAGCATTTTATGGTTCAGTAATCGGGAATTTAGCATGCTACTTGTTCAATGTAGAGGTCTCAGCAGTGATTTTCTGGACAGTGTTTTGGCTCGAAGCCTCCTTCAGTTGGATGGAACTGACTTTTATCAGCTGATGTCATTTAAATAATATTTTTTATGTCATTCAGTAAAATTTTGGAAAGTACCTCCATCATTGAACTGTACTATTACTTAAAGGTGCACTGCTCAACTTTTCTGGTGGAGGGTCCGCTACCTGCTTGTCTCCATGGAGATGTTATTTTTTTTTTGCCTGGAATGTTCCATGGTATGACTTTAAACATATACATCTAATATTTATTAATTACGGGTATCTCTATTGCTCTATTCTTTCCTTAATAGGACGACTCTCTCCACAGATCTGGAGTGTAATGTAGCATAGCACTGTAACCTGCTTGTCTCATTTGTGATGGATAGGATCTATACATTTTAGACAAACCAATAACATTTCCATGGAGACAAGCAGCTGACGAACCCTCCATTAGACAGTGCACCTTTAAAATCCAGTGTGTTTTGTTTACCGCCACTGTTGCTGCTAATGCTGCTTCAGGGGATTTCCTTTTTAACTAACTTCCTCTTTAAACCTTTTCTTCCTTTGTTTCCTTTGCTAACACGACCCTCATCTTTGTCCCCAAGGTGGTAAGTACCAACAGTAACTCTATACTCACGTAAAGCTTTCTACTGTGTTCCTGTCAAAAACATGCTGGAAGAGGTTTTAGGTGTCATCCATGCATGTCTGAGTCATCTAGAGATCTCTTTCAGGCTCTATTCAAACTCTCCTTATCGTTAACAATACAACTATGTCCAATGCTCTGCCCACAAATCTGCGTCACACATGCTCCCTCACAACAATTCTCCATAAATATACAAAAACATGATATAAAACAATACACGTAAAAAGTGAAAAAATGCATAGCACGCTCAGAAGGCCGATGTACAAAACTTTTTTCAAAATTTATTCTAAATTGATTGCAACCATTTTGTGTACTGTGGTTCAAGGCCAGAAAAATGATGTGCTGAAGGATTTTTGAGGAAACATAATTTAGAATACATATTTTAAAACGTTTTGGACATCAGACATCTGAGTGTGCTATGCATTTTTTCAGTTTTTATGTTGCTGCTCCTTGCATTTGCACCTCTATGTGAACTTTGGTGTGAGTTTTCTGTTTCATTTGACAGAACTGTACACAACAACTTCACAAAGCAAGGTGTAGTAATGTTTGGTAGTGTTTAGTAATGTGATAGCGCTTTGAAGAAGGAGTGACTAAGTACGGAGACCAAAGGGAGGGGAGATTCAGCGTCAAAAACTGAACTCAAACTTATTAAATATATAGTCTTTCAGTGAATATAGCATTTTCAGAACAATAAAAGGTAACATGGTGCTCTAAATATGTTATGTGTTAGCAGTTAATACCCCATAGAAATAAAATACCCCTTCTAATATTATACAAGTTACTGTGAACTCATGGACTATCACAAATCACTTCTTATGTAAAGAAATCAGCACAAATGGAGCATAAAGTGTCCCTGATGCACTGGTGGCTGGTCACATGATGTCTACTCTAGGTTAGCTACTATTAATAAAAGCTCTTTTAAACCTCATTTAAAAAAAATTTTGAATCTTAATTAAAAAAACATATCATTTATTGTTATTTCCAGGAGTACATTATTATATTAGCTACACTCATCTGTTTCATTGTTCTACTGTTTTCATGGATTTTAACTTTAATTTTAATATTTTGAGGACTTTTGACCATAGATTTACATGCTTTTCACCCTTCAAAAGACAATGTTTTGTTTTATATTGTTAAATGCATGACAACAGTGCAACCTAAAACCCACAGATATGAGTACAAGTAGAAGAGTTATGTGACATTGCCCCCAAGTGGACACATGTGGGACTGCTTCTTTTCGTTGAACTCACTGACCCTCATTTTGACTCTCAAGATAATTATCCTATTTGCAAACTACTGTGTCATAATGGAAATATATATGTTGTTGTTTCTATAATAGTTTTAAAATGTAATATTGTCTAATCTATTGTATATTATTTGTTTGTGTTCTTATTTGTAGAACATTGGTAAAAAGATGTCGTGTCAACAGTTCATCAGTAATCTGGAGGGACTCAACAACGGCAAAGACTTCCCCAAAGAGTTATTAAAGGTACATTTCAATTCTGCTGTTTTAAACCTTATAAGTGTAATTTTTGAAATTAATACATATTTTATTCACCTCTAAACAGGTCTTATATAATTCGATAAAGAATGAGAAACTGGAGTGGGCAGTGTGAGTATGAGAAATTTCACTTAATTTCAGATTATTTGACTTTTGACTTTTATAATGAACAAAATTAGAACAGTATAAATGTGGCATTTGTAAAGGTGTATATCGGGAAACTCTAAAACACCTTAAAGCTCCTATGTTATGCTAAATTTACTCTTATGACCTTTAAGTCATTTTATAATGCTGTTATCTCCTCAAAACATACCTTTGTGTTTTGTTTCATTCACACATGTTTAACACACAAATCCTGCAGATTTAGGCTGTGTTCTTCTCTCAAACTGAAAATATTTCACCTTGTGATAATATAGGAAGTGCTCCACTGTGTTTTTCAACTCCATACCCCTTCATTAGAATCATTTGGATACTTTCAGCCCTGGAATTGCCCATTTCTACTGAACAAAAGTTAAAATAGAGCTGTTAACTTGAAAACTAACAGTCCGTGACATCACAAGGTGGAACAGAGCATTTTGAGCTTTGGAGATGTAGACAGACTAATATTAAAGGATTTTTCAAACATGTGTGAAGGAAACTCTAGGTTTGTTTTTCAGGATGTAACAAAATTATAACATGGCTTAAAGGTGCAATGTGCATCTTTTCAGGTAGAGAGTCTCCCACCTGATTGTCTCCACGGAGATGGTATTACTTTTTTTAAATGTTTCACAGTGTGGCATTAAACTCATATGCGTCCCATTCATTCAGTCATGGATGTTTTTAAGAACCTGATCTGACCAGTATCTTGGTCTGGTGGCAGATCCTGCTTGTTTCCATGGAGATAGTTCCGTTTTTAATACCATACTGTGACACATTTTAAGCAAAGCAATTACGTCGTCATGGAGACAACATTGTAAGCAGACCCTCCTCCAGAAATGTTACATAGTGCATGTTACATAAAGTTCTCAAGAGTCAGTTTAGTGTGATACAGGAGCTTTAAACAGGTCATTTGCTTGAGCGTGGTTTGTGGTTAGTGCAGATGAATTAGTCCTTTAAACCTTGTGTGTGTGTTTGTGGCAGTGAGGAGGAGGAGCTGAGGAAGAGTCTGTCTGAGCTGGTGGAGGAGCAGTGTGAGGGGAGCAGTAAACGTGTAGCGAGGGTCTCAGATGGATGTAACCCTTTCATCGCCATCCCAGTCCTCGTGAACGCCGTCACCTACAAACATGGAGTCCTGACCAGGAAGAGCCACGCCGACATGGACGGCAAGCGCAGTGAGTCAAAACACAGCCTGCTGCTCCTGATTTAGATTAGGCCTGCAGCGACTAACTCTCTTCATCTGTCTCTCCCTCCCTCTCTTGCGCTGTCTTTCTTTCTCTCTTTCTCTCTTTCTCTTTCCTTCTCTCCAGCTCCCAGAGGTCGTCGAGGGTGGAAGAAGTTCTATGCTGTTCTAAAAGGGATGATCCTGTATTTACAAAAGGTACAGCACCCTCCTCTCTCTTTACTGTAGGAACAGTTATCAAACACCAGGTGGCTTTAACTCAATGTGAAGCATCTACTTTGAAAAGGGTTGAAGAACAGAAAAATATACATTGCTGTCATATGTATTTTACGACTGCAAAAACTGAGCTGTATGCAAGATTTAGAATTTTTATTCCATAAACATGACCTAATTGTGATATGAGGTAAACATATTCAAATCAAAAATAACTTTACTAACAACTTTAATGCTGATTTATTGTCTTAATTACAAAAACATTGGAAATTATGTCCCATTTATTTAGTGTTTTAGTTGTCAAGATAAATGCACAATATCATTCAACTAAAATAAATGCACTCAAGCTTCCAGGTTAATTGACCAATATTACATTAATCAGTACTTCTTGAAAAACTACTTTAATAAGGCCAATATCAGATTTTTAGTGTGTACTATTGAGGATGTAAGCATGAATAAAGATCTGACCCATTCTAATCTGTTAAACATACGCAGATTAAATTGTTTATAGCGCCATTTACAACACACAAGGTGACCAAAGTGCGTTACATTAAAATTTACACAATATAAAAACTTGCAAAAACTTTAAACAATGAAATAAAACAAAATGTGACTGCATTACTAAGTGTTGAAAGCCAGTCTGAAGAGATGATAGATCTGCCCTCTGGTTTATCTGTGTCCTGGTTTGTGGATCTTAAAAGTGCACTATGTAACTTCTTGGTTGGGGGCACGTCACCTGCTTGATTCTATGGTTAAGTCATTGCTCTGCTTGGAATGTTCCACAGTATGGCATTAAACGGCTCTACCTTACATTTATTCAATTACAGGAGGTTTTATAACTCAAAAATACCTAGATAAACAGGCATTCTGACTGTGAGCAGGGTCGCCTCTTCACTGATCTGACCTGTAACTTGGTCTAGTTTGGTCTCTATGAAAATTGAACGGTTTAATGCCATACTGTAAAACATTCCAGACGAAGCAATAGAGAAAGCATTTGACATACGCTTCAACAGAGAAGTTACACAATACACCTTTAATGAAAAAAAGTTTGGACCCCTGGAGTTAAAGGTTGTATATCTGTTTACTTCTCTCAGGACGAGTACAAACCGGACGCGGACATTTCGGAGGTGGACCTGAAGAACGCCGTGAGGGTCCATCACGCTTTGGCCACGAGAGCCACAGACTACAGCAAGAAACCCAACGTCCTGAAGCTCAAGACTTCAGACTGGAGAGTGTATCTGCTCCAGGCCCCGTGAGTACAGACTTGTGCACTATTTACATGTTACTTAGACTGTAGCTCCCACATCACAATATAGTATAATAACAAAGACCAAAACATATAAATGGTCATAATAAATAATAAATAAGCAGCCAAAAAAACTACATAAATACAGTATATCTCAGTTATATACAAGAGTTGGGTTAGGAGAAACAAAGTTATGATGATTGACAGGACAAAGGGTTATCTATTACATAGACGAGTTGTTGTACAGTTGTAGGGAGTATTATCTGTTACATAAGGGTGAGTTTTACATTTGTAGGGAGTATTATCTGTTACATAAGGGTGAGTTTTACTGTTGTAGGGAGTATTATCTGTTACATAAGGGTGAGTTTTACAGTTGTAGGGAGTATTATCTGTTACATAGTGGTGAGTTGTTGTACAGTTGTAGGGAGTATTATCTGTTATATAAGGGTGAATTGTTGTACAGTTGTAGGGAGTATTATCTGTTACATAAAGGTGAGTTGTTGAACAGCTGTAGGGAGTATTATAGTATTAATATAGTCCTGAATCTCTCATTACTTGAGTGGCGCTGTAGGAGCCTGATGAAGAATGAGCTCCTCTGTCTCTCTGTAGTCTGGTGCAGTGGATGAGTTGTTGTACAGCTGTAGGGAGTATTATCTGCCCCTCTGTTGTCTGACACAGGAGTATACATGGTGGAGAGCGGTTTGTCCAGTTGTTCCCTATTGCTGTTGTGAAATAACTATAAGACTTTTGTGTTATATAAAGGTGCACTGGGTAACTTTTCTTGTGGAAGGTCTTCTTTCTTGTTTCCATGGAGATGTTATCGCTTTGCCTGAAAAGATACCAAGGGCACTTTAAATAAAGGGCCTGTATTACAGTATTTTCTGATCCATGTGATGATGCTGTATAAAAAAAATACACATACCTAGAGTTGTGTTTTGTTTCTTTCACACTTGTTTAACACATACTTCTCTCAAGTATAAAACACTATGTTCCACCTTGTGATGTGATGTGTTTTTAAACTTGTACACCTTCACTAGAATCATTTGGATCATTTCAACTCTGGTTCCAATATCTACTAAGCAAAAGGTAAAAAGTAGCTGTAAATGTGAAAACTCCCTAGCTTTAGAGATGTAAATAGACTGAAAAGGATTACTCAAACATGTGTGAATGAAACAAAACACAACTATGTGTTGGAGGAGAACTTGACTAAAAGCTCATTTGAGTCAATTTTGTTTAATATAGGACCTTTCAATTTTTAGTGTGTTCTTATGCTTCATAAAACTGAGTAGTCAAACCTGTCGTATGCACTTTAAAGATGGTTTGCACATGTGCAGACGAGGGACAGTGAATGTATGGATTCGTAGTATATCACAATTTTCACAGTGTAGTTTGTTTTCATTCTCAGGAGCGAGGAGGAGATGATGTCGTGGATTTTCAGGATAAACCTGGTGGCGGCACTGTTCTCTGCTCCGGCGTTTCCTGCTGCCATCGGATCCATGAAGAAGTTCTGTCGACCGATCCTGCCATCGTCCTCCACACGACTCAGCCAGGTCCAAAAAAATACACAACATCATGAACAACTATGCTCCAAAACTTTATACACAACGTTACTGACCTGAATGATACAATACTGAGTGGTATGTGTGTGTGTGTGTGTAATCTGAAAGTGAATTCTGTTTAAAGGTGCAGTATGTATCTTTTTGGTTCAGGGTCCGGCACCTGCTTATTTCTATGGATATGTCATTGCTCTGCCTGGAATGTTCCACAGTATGACATTAAACAGCTCTACCTTACATTCAATTACAGGTGGTTTTATAGCTCAAAAATATCTAGAAAAACAGGCATTTGTACTGTGAGAGTGGTGTCTTCTCCACAGATCTGACCTGTAACTTGGTCTGGTTTGGTCTCGGTGAAGATAGAAAGGTTTAATGCCATACTGTGAAACATTCTAGACAAAGCAATAACATCTTTATGGAGAAAAGTATTTGATGGGCCCTCCTCTAAAAAAGTTACACAATGTAACTTTAAAGCAAACCTGTTCGGCAAAATTGACTTTTCAAAGTTTTTAACCATGTCAGCTGTTTTTTCATTTACCCTCTCAAAGTTGTATTTAGAATGATTTGTGCATATTTGAGCAGCCTTTAAGCACTTATTTTTAAGACGCCATTTTGCTGATGAATCACCGGTACACGCCCACTGATCTGTACTTACTTCTTTCTCCAATTTTATTTTCTTAATCGGTGATGCACGTTGGATTTGGCAGGATTGTATAGTTATTTAAGTACAAATGAAAAAATCCATTGCTCGCTAGTGTGATCTGCAGCTGTCCTTTGGAGGTGCCGACTCTTTGTTGTGATGATGTTTACGGTGACATCATCTCTCAGTGGGCACTGCAGTTTTATGAGGCAGAAGTCAGCAGATTATTAAGTAATTTTAGGTGAATATTGCGATTAAAATGTCCAGATAATGTCATAATGATCCACAAGTGTCATAGATTATAACTATAGCAGACACAAGCACAATATGTCTTCTTTAAGATTGAATACATTTTGTCACTCATCCAAGTAGCTTCTTCACTTCTGACCGCTGACTTCCCAAAATCCACCAGGCAAAGACAGGAAAGGTGTGGGTGTGAGCGCAGTGTAATTCTATATCTCTTCTCTGATTGGTCGATTCCTCTGTATCTCGTCTCTGATTGGTGCAGGAGGAGCAGCTGAGGAGTCACGAAGGGAAACTGAAGCAGATGAGTTTGGAGCTGGAGGAACATAGGAAGAACCCCGTGACCTTTGAGCCCAAGAGCAGAGACTGGGAGGAGCATCGCATCAAGGAGCACTACCTCACCTACGAGGTACTGAGGGCAGATACACCTATAATACTCACAGTACGGGAGTATGGGTACAGTGTTTTTGTAGGAATCCCAACATTTAAAATTCCCATCTATTTAAAAGTGCACTGTGTAATATTCCTGGTGGTGTGTTGTTGCTTTACTTGAAATGCTCCACAGTATAGCATTAAACACATCGATCACTATTTCAACATTTCCTATACACTATTGCCTCTAGATGCTAAACTGGCAATAAAATATAATTCCTTATAATTCTCTAAAGGGCCGTTCACACCAAGGCGTCAAAGCGTCCACTTTCAATGTAAAGTCGATGTGGACGCGCGACTAGAGCGTCCTGCGTTTTTGCGGCGCGTTTTCGGCGTCAGCGCGGCGCGAATCTGGCGTCGACGCGGCGCGTCTTGAGCGTTTTGGCGTCAGCGGCCAAGACGCGCGCCCAAGGCGTCAGCGTTAAGAAGTTGAAAATGCTGAACTTTTCGCGTCAGACGCGCCGCGTCAACCAATTAGGGACGAGTATCTAGTGACGCAGCGACGTTATTATCAGGAAGCAAGACCCGAGAACCAGAACGAGAACCACAAACACGAGCGGAGAATAAATATATACGCCACAATCACCGAGCCGATCGCGAGGACTACACCAGGACCGGACCAGGACTAAACCAGGACTAGACCGGGACTAAACAAGGACTAGACCGGGAGTAGACCGAGACTGGACCGAGACTAGACCGGGACCAAACCAGGACTAGACCGGGACTGATCCAGTGTCATTAGCGGAGTATAAATATATATACGCCCCAGTCGTCGACCCGATCTCCTCCGCTGATGTTTTATGTCATAAAAACACTCTCTCAGTCTGGTCTGATATTGTTTCGGGAAAAGACCGGAACCGGGCTCTTGTTTCCAGGGCAACGGACGCGCGTGAACTATTTTTGTCCCGTTCTTCCACAGCGTCAAAGACGCGCATCGGGGGCGTCTAAACTCAAATGCAAAGGCTCCAAATAGAAGCGTCAAGGCGTTTTTTGACGCTTTGGTGTGAACGGCCCTTAAGTGTTCCAAGACAAGTGCTGCCCTCTGTTGAATCCTTTGTGTCACTACTCACAAGCAAGTGGCAGACTCACCCACCACCAGAAAAGTACCATAGTGCACCTTTAAAGTACCCATATTTCAGTATTTTCTGATCTATATTATAATGTTGTTTCCTCATCACAAATAGACCTGGAATTGTGTTTTGTTTCATTCACATGTTTAACACACATACCCATTTAGTTCTTCTCTCAAACAGAAAACACTCTGTTCCACCTATTGATGCCATGTGGTAATACAGGAAGTGCTCCGATTTGTTTTTAAACACCATACCCCTTCACTAGAATCATTTGGATAATTTCAGACCTGGAATTGCTAATCTCTATTGAATTAAGTGTAAAAGGTCACTGTGAACTTGAAAACTGTCACTTCGATTCATCACAAGGTGAAACAGAGCATTTTGAGCTTTGGATATGTAGACAGACTGATAATAAAGGATTACTCAAACATGTGTGAAAGAAAAAAAAACACAACTCCAGGTCTGTTTTTGATAAGGTAACAACATTATAACATGACTAAATGCTCACAAGAGTCAATTTTTCGTAATATAGGACCTTTAACTCATTTTATTTTGTCTTAATCTTTCTCCTCTTCTTCAGAAAACGCGCTACGAGACCTACATAAGCCTACTCCAGGCCAAGATCCGCGCGGAGACAGACGATTTGGAGAAGATCGAGGCCAGCGTCATGGGCACTTTTCTACTGGAGGGACGGGAGTGCCAACTCCGGAAAACCCAGTCTTCTCCGTCCATAAGTCAGGCTCACGGGGGTCTCAATGGAAAAACCACCAACTACCCATTCGTATCATCACAGAGGAGCTGAGACTCCAAAAATATAAACAAAAACTCCCTCCTTTTTAAGCTGAGAAAACTGATAACTTGAAACTTTTTAGCTCTTATCCTACATATTAGTAGTACTTTACAGCTCCTCACTACTGCCCCCTAAAGGTAGACTTTTTAGTACGAAGAAAATGGGGTAACTTTGCTTAGACGGAGCAATAGACACCTCATTTAAGCGATTTTTTTATTGCACATTTTGAAATGATCCGAATCGAGATCATTTTTGTATCAGTATTACTTTAACTCAATGCAGTTTAGTGTTTTCAAAGATTATAATTTATTAAGGACACTACGATGATTAATGAGAAAGAGAAGAAGAGGTTTGAGAGGAGATAGTGATGGTACTACTGTAGCATTTTTAGCTTTTTCTTCCTGTTCAGAGAGACAGACTGGTCATGTGACGAGATGGACCTACGCGATTGGTGGAAGGAGCAGAGACTTTCAGGAAGAAGACGAAGGAGAAGCCGCCATGTTGGTTTTATTTATTTATTTAACTACAGTGAAATCTCTTGTTACGTTCGCGTTCAGTATTGCAATGCCGAGGAACTGCAGGTGGAGTGCCTTGCCCAAGAGCACCTCAGCACCAGACGTTGAGGGTTTCGACAAGAGGAAAACGGACGTTAACGATTTGAAACGGTTGGAAGTTTTCCTGTAAAACTGATGTCTGAACTCTGACATGTTCCGTAATGTTTCTTTAGTTTTAGAAAAGAAAAGTTTGAATGACGGAAAGCACTGTGTATGTGTCCTCGTTGTAAACAAACACGGTCTCCGCTGATCAAACTGGTGCAGATTTAAAGATGCGCTATGTAACTTTTCTGGCATCGGGCCCGCCACCTGCTTCTTGTTTCCATGGAGGCGTTATTTGATCCCAAGAATCTTCCACAGTATGGCATTAAAGTGCATATGACAGGTTAGAGTACTTTTTCTACTAACACACAGTTGACATAATTATATTTAAGCTTCTTTTTAAAAAATGTACGTAGTTTTAAATACAAAGTGGGAAAAAAACTGAGGCACTCAAAAAGTACAAAATAATTAAAAGCCTTTAATACCACATGGCAGATAAAGTTAAAATACGCCAACGCGTTTCGGCCCTTCGGCCTTCATCAGGGCAAAAGTACGTAGTTTTGTCTAGTTTTTGAATTCTGGTTGGTGAAGTTTATTATTTTACTTCTTGGTTGGACACATGCAACAGATATGACATACGTAAAGGTAAATTTATAACTGTTACCTAGCAACCACAAAGTAAACAAGCCTCAGTGTTAAATCAATGTTTAGTATGTCAGAAAAAATGCCTTTTTTACACCTAAATTTAGTTTTCCATTGATGACATAGGTAGAGGTATTCTGTTTCAAAACTACTACTAAAGCGCTACTTCCTGCATTTTTGTATTTTCTTAGTGTCTCTTAACTGATGTAAAACTATGATACATATTTACCACAAGAACTCACCAAACCGAATCATATTTAGAAAATCATAAAAACTGTCTCATGCACTTTAAACTCTATCTCCATGGGGAAAGTTGCAGGTGAGATCTGTGGAGAGGCCGCCTCACTCACTCTAAGAATACATGTTTTTCAGTGTATCTTTTGGCTTTGAAAATCATCTATTTCACATTAAACCAAGGTTACACTTCAGTTCCATCCAAGTTTACTGTCACAGTGTGGGACATTTCAGAGTTACCAATGGAGACAACCATATGATGGACCCCCATTCAGAAAAGTTACATAGTGCACCTTTAAAAACAGATTTGAAGAAATATAGGTGAAAACTAACTCTGACTGGTAATATTTTATGAAAGTAATATTACTGAGCTATTTAAAACCTGCTTTCTTTGATACATGACATTTGGATTAAAAGCTCTATTTTTTAGTAAAGGAAAATCTGTTGTTTACACTCTCCAAACTAATTTTCAGAGATACATTTGCAAGTCTTACACTTTTTTTAACTTAAAAGATGCACCACATAACTTTTCTGGAGGAGGTGTGTGTTTTTACTGCCAAAAAATACATTGGAAAATATACATCTTCACTAGGGAACGCCTTTCCACAGATCCAACCTGTAATTTGTCATTTTAATGCCGAAATCCTGCAGAACATTTCATGGGGTGCTCACACCAAATGTGAATGGCGTGAACAAGGCGAACAATTTTCATGTTAACCCTGTGTAAAGGCACATTGACGCGCGAATTAAGTTCTACGGCGCGAATGATGTGAATTGGGCGATTCACGCATTTTGAGCAGCATGAATAGGCAAAATGAGCTGCACGAATTTGTGAAACTGGCATTGTCGCGCAAATTCCCGAAAGGAAGGGGCTTGTGACTTTCGCCAAAGTTGAAGTTTTTGAACTTTCTGTGAATATTCGCGTCACATCAACCAATCGGGCCGTGTTCTGATAGAAACGTATAATGCTGAGACAGACGTGAACTTTCATTCAACATGGAGGAGACACTCACTGTTGCCGTGGAAAACCAGACAATATTATACAGTACAGAGACCAGAATAAACTCCACAGAGCAGGACCTACACCAGACTCTGCCCTTCTCTCCTTTATTCTGGCTCTGGTCTCAGTCTTGGTCCTGGTCCCAGTCTGGTCCCGAGCTTCGTCCTGGTTTGTAATGCCGGACTTTTGCGCCACATACGGACTGAAACAGGGCAAAACCAGGACTAAACCAGGTCTAAACCAGGACTAAACGATTACTGAACCAGGACTGAACCAGGACTAAACCAGGACTAAACGATTACTGAACCATGACTGAACCAGGTCTAAACCAGGACTAAACCAGGACTGAACCAGATCCAAACCAGGACTGAACCAGGTCTAAGCCAGGACTAAACCAGGACTAAACTGGCCTGATACCGATCTGGTCCCGGTCTCAGTCGAGCTCTGGTTGCTGATTCCGAGCCTCAGCTTCGAGCTCCGGCCCTGCCATGGACTCTGAGCCTTAGCTCTGAGGCCGTGGGCTCAGAGCTTGCGGAGGCTCGAAGTCAAAGCTCGGAGCCCGCTCTGGTCCCAGTCTCAATCTCGGTCTCAGTCCTGGTCTGGTTCCTGTCTGGTCCCAGTCTCAGTCCCTGTCTGGTCCTGGTCTGGTCAGCCTGCTCGATGTAGTCCAAGTCCTCCATTTGTCCAAATGAAAACAGATGCAGAGGACACTGCGCAGCCACACTTGATCCTTCTGGAGCGAATAGAGCGGATTTACTCACGCGACAAAATTCCCAAACTTGAGCGACCTGGACCCGCGAATGAAGCGAAAACTCAAGCAGGAAACTAGGGGTGCTTGATGCGATTTATTTGCGCCATTCGCGTTTGGTCTGAACACGGCTTAACACCCCCACGGCGATAAACAGAAAAGTAGAAAAGTTACGTAATGAACCCTGAATAGTATTTCTGCACCAGTTTTGTTTAAAGGAGTCCTTGTTCACAGCTGGTTTGGTCGGCGTGGGGGACTGTTGCATGCTGGGAGTGAGTGACACGATTTTGAAAGAGACTTTTTCGCCGTAGCATCAGGAGCAGTCACTTTAGCAGGGTCAAGTTTGTATTTATTTGAAAATGTCGATAACATCACCAACCCTAAATAGTCTTTCCTTAGTTTAGGCTTATATCAATTACAGTAGGTCTATGCATACTCCTAACTGTTCATCTCTACACTCTACAGGTGCAATAAAAGGTCATTGTGGAAAAGTTCATGGAGTTATTAACTTCAGTCAACGTGTTTTGATTCATTTTGATTTGTAAGATATTTCAGAAAGTAGAAATTTATATATAGAAGTGAGGTTATTAAAGGTCCTATATTACACAAATTTGTGAGTTTTAAGCCATGTTATGTTGTTGTTACCTCATCAAAAACAGACCTTAAGTTGTGTTTTGTTTCATTCACACGTTAAAATAAGCAATTTTTCTCTGTCTACATCTCAAAAAGTTCAAAATGCTCTGTTCCACCTTGTGATGTCATGTAGTTGTAGTTGGTGGTTTCAAGTTAACAGCTACTTTTTACCTTTATTTGAGTAAACAGCAAAAAGTGGACTGTTAAAATTGAGTCTCACAGAATCAATTTGAACATGTTCTCAGTGTTTATATGAATCCAGTCTGTTCTGTGAGTTAATTTAAAACATTTTTGGAAACGTTAATTAAGTAACACTGTTGTAAGTAACACTGGACCAAAAGTTCCTGTTTAACCCCGAAATCAGGAGTTATATTAATGTTTTGAGAGTAAAGAGATAACACTTTGTAGGGTTATCCTGATTTAGATAAATGACAGAGGTGTTCTATTTTTACACTTTATTTTAGTTAATTTAAAATGAAATTATGTACAAACTGGTCTTCCCCCGCGGGAGTTTGAAGTGGTGGGTGGGAGGTGCCAAATTAACACTAAGGGAAGTTGAATGAACAGAATAACACTTTTTTGTGTTAAAAAAAAGTTTGAAATATTTCATCCTGAAATTTTAACCCTCCAGTTTTTGCTGTGTAGAGATCAGCAATGCCAGAGCTGAAAATTATCCAAATGAATCTAGTGAAGGTGTGTGGAGTTTAAAAACACCACTTCCTGAATCAGAACTCAGCCTAAATGTGCAGGGTTTGTGTGTTAAATGTGTGTGAATGAAACAAAACACAACTCCAGGTCTGTTTGTGACGAGGAAACAACATTATAACAGATCAGAAAACAGCGTAATAGAGACCATCTGACATTCACAGTTGACAAAATGTAGTAACTCAAAGTAGAAATTCATATATATAAGTGGGGATATTAACACAAAGGTTGGTCAATTCTAATCCACTGCTTTTGTGTCTTCGGGCAAGACACCTCTGGAGTCTGTGTACCAACTGAAACTTAAATGTAACTTCCCCGGCGGTGGGTCCTGTCATCTGCTTGTTTCTGTGGAAGTGTTATTGCGCGGTGACGTTACCTGTTTGTCGTCTCCGAGACAGTTTAAAGCCATACTGTGGAACATCCCAGGCAAAGCTATAACCTTTCCAGAGACAAGCAGGTGGCAGACTCACTTCTCGCAGAATCAGAAAAGTTACGTAATGACCCTTTAACATACAACAAGATCAGAAAGAAAGCTAAGGGGTAAACATTAATAAGTACTAAGCCCAAAAATATAGTTTGAATTATTTACTGAGTGATAAATTGGTACAAATTATTATAAAATTTGGACACACCATCTCGTTCAATGTTTATTTTTTTAAATTTTTTTTTTTTACAATTTTACACTTTCTATATTTTATATACACACAGCAGACATCAAATATATGAAGCAAGATATATGGAATTAAGCAGCAAAGAAAAAATATCTAAATAACTACTTATTTTTATATATATATATATATATATATATATATATATATATATATATATATATATATATATTCAGATTTAATATTCAAGTAATCACCCTTTGCTTTGTTGAAAAATATTTAGTAGAGCTTTTAAACTTTTTTGTTGATTTAACTTTGCTACATAATTCCATATATTTTGCTTCATATATTTGACATCTTTTGAATGTGCAATAAATAAAATGTAGAAAGATGTAAAAAATAAAAATAACAGAATAAAAGCGTGTGTCCAAACTTTTGACTGGTAGTGTGTTAAAGGCGCTGTATCTGATTTTCACTTTTTTAATAACATGAAAAACAGAACTGGTTCATTTTAAACAGTTTGCAGTGGTCCAAAGTTAATCCTCACTTACCTTATACGTTCAGAGCATTCTAATTATTCACTGCAATGAGTTTATAAGCACTTTTCTCACCGTGGTTTCTCCTATACAATAAACAACTAGCATGCTACACTGATCAGCTGACATTAAAATACATTCTGATTTTGACCTCAAGATTTACTTATACAATATATCTGTACTGGGGTGAGACGAATTTGGTGAAATACGTGGAAAAAATGTGTACGGAGTCTTTAATTATTGTGCCAGCCAGGCTCATCTCTACATGTTTATTAAGCCTCTCAAACGTGACTGCTGATCTGTGCAGAGCAGGGCCCGGGCTTTGGAGCTTAGACTCGGGTTAAGAGTGTGTCCAAACATCGTCCACGTGCGGAGGGGGCAACCGCACAAACCCAATTTCCCAGAATGCACTTAGGGTTTGCTTCGTGGTACCAAAACCTTCTGCTTTTCACAGAACTGGCATTAGAGATGAGCTGAGAGGAGAGAGGGGCAGGTACCGGCCACACAGCTCCCCTAATCAGAACGGTTAGAAAAAACTCACAGATTTTTAAGCAACAACACCACTGTAGACTGTAGATGTGGGTTTCCCGATCTTAACCTTTACATACTAGTCAGGTCAAATTTTACCCATTTTGACATTCAACAGTAGTAAAAATACACTAATCATCATTCTTTGATCCTGAAATTTGATGACTTTTCCTAAATTTGCCAAAATATACAAAAATGAAAATATTTTAAAATTTCATACTTTTGTGCTACACATTTTTGGACACTGAGGCTGGTTCGGGTCAAGTTTGATCCATATCTATTGAGATGGATTTTAGCTCTATCAGCACGGGTCAGATGAAGCAAAATAGAAGTTTTAGGGAATCTTGAAACTGTGAAACTGTACAGACCATGTTTGTATGTATTTTTTCATGGGACAGTGCTGACAGAGTTCAAGAGTTCCTAATCTTCATGTTTATGGTGCACATAAGGTCAATCAAGGGGGAGAGAGATATTTTCTAAGTTTAAGTTTGTTTTCACACAGGACTAAATAGATCTGTAGTTCAAAATTTGGTATAGACACTTACTATGAAGGAATTCTTGGTCCGAGTCCAATTTGACCCCAACCATAATGTGAAGGCTTCAGAAAGGAACAGTTTGTAAGGGTTAAATCACACGAAATGGACTCTTGTGAGATTTAAGACATGTTAGAATGTTGTCCTCCTCAAAAACATACCTGGAGTTGTGTTTTGTTTCATTCATTTCAGTAATTATTATTAGTCTGGCTACATCTTCAAAACTCAAACTAAATGCTCTGTTCCACCTTGTGATGTCATGTGGTGATAATTTTGAAGTTAAACAGCTCCTTTTATCTTTAGTTCAGTAGAGATTGACAATTCCAGAGCTGAAATGATCCAAATTATTCTAATGAAGGTGTATGGAGTTTAAAAACACATTGGAGCCCTTCCACATGACATCACAGGGTGGAACAGAGTGTTTTCAGGCTAAATTTGCAGCATTTGTGTTAAACGTGTGAATCAAACAAAATACCAGTCCAGGTATGCTTGTGATGAGGAAATGTTATAACATAGATCAGAAAATAGTGTAATATGGGCCCTTTAATGCCTCCCTCATCTGTTTAACACTTGTTTTAATGATATTCATTTCCAGAATTCTCCAAAACATTCTCAAGGATATCAAATTTACTTCAAAGAACATTGTTTTTTCTTTTTTTTTTTTTTCAAATGCAAGTCCGTTTCATCTTGTTTTTTAATTTGAAAATCATTCCAAATATCTCCTGGTTGGGAAACATTATAGACTAAAGAGTAGACAAAATAAAATAATAATAATAATTTTCACAATAATAGTCAGATGGTACTTTTGCTGCTATAGGTTCAATATATGTGAGTCTGTGTGGTGTTACTCAGAAATACAGTACAGTATATTCAACACTATTACTTAAAAGTTTTATCATTTTGTTAATTTGGAAAGCAAAATATATCCATTTCAAAGGTGCACACAGGTCCGCCCTCTGCTTGTCTCCATGGCGATGTCATTTTGTCGCACAGACTGTTTACTTCACAGTATAGCATTAAACTTTGTCTGACTTGGATTAATTCACTTTCAGGTGTTTTTATGGCTGAAAAATGATCTTAAGAAATCTTTAACTTGGCTCGGTGGTGCTAACTTAACTATCTCCATGGAAAAAAGCAGGAGATGCCACGAGACCAAGTCAGATCTGTGCAGAGGAAGGCCCGCTGACTGTAGCCGTGCATGTTCTTCACACATAATTGAACAGTCGACGAATAAATTTGACGCCACGCTGTGAAACGTTTCGGACACAGTAACACCATCTCCGTGGAAACAAGCAGGTGGCGGACCCTCTGCCCGAAACGTTACGCAATGCACCTTTAAGTAACAGAATGGAGTACTTCATTTACCACTGGTTTCTGTACCAAATTCTTTGTAGAAAAGCTGTTTCCAGAGCTGAAATCTTGATCCATGCTTTTCTCTCCCTCTGTTTTTGGGTCTAGTGCTGTAAAAATATGGTGATGATATATTTGTTAATGTTTAATCTAACTTGACCTGGGCACTTTGATGTCAATCCTGTCTCTGTGTGTGAAATGTTTTGGTCAGGATGAAGTAGAACACATATTTACTGAGTGTTTAGTCTGTGCTTCATAAAGTGCGATTTTATACACACCAAACATGGCTACTGTCTTGTGTTATTATTCACTGGTTCTCATTGTAATCACTGAGAGACACTTGATGATTCTCTAATTTCTGCTTTATTTAGTGCCTTAATACTTGTTGTAAATATAAATTATAGTTTTACACAAATCAAGAAGCAATTAAAAATTAAGCAAAAAAAAAAGTTGAAAAACATGTTGAAAATTGTACAGGAAGTAAAGAGATCCAATCCAGATCTGCACAATTTACACTTACAATCCACATTCTTTTCTGATACTCCAAACATGATTTCAACTAAATAAATGTTTTCTTATATTTTTATTTGTCAAATAATAATTTCTGTGTACATTTGTGGAGTTTTGGCCCGGTGTACTACATGGTTGCTAGGTAACAGTTCCCTAGTGTGATGTCATGATTTACAACCAGGAAGTACATTTTGAAACCTAAAAATTGAGGGGAAAAGTGTAATGTTTGGAAAATCTTAAATGTAAATGATCTTAACTGTGTTATAGCAAAATGTATCTGTAATTTAAGCATACTGTAATATTATGAGCTCTCCATAGATTAGAGCATTATGTAGCTTTTCCACTGCCTGTCTCCATGGAGATGTTACTGCGTTGCTTAGAAAGTTCCACAGTAAAGGGCATATACCAGTAGTTCTTATATTCATTCAATTATATGTGATTTTATTGCTCAAAAATACCTTGTAAAATATGTCATTGCCTCTCCACAGATCTGACCTGAAACTTGGCCTGGAGACATCATGTGCTTGTCTCCATGGAGATGTTTAATTCCATACTGTGGGACATTCCAGCAAAAAAAAAACTCTCTATAGAATATAGAATAGAATATTCCAATGATCATAAACTGATGCATCTCCATGGAGATTTGCAAGCCAAATTACAGGTCTGATTTGTGGAGAGGCAAGCCCACTCACAGAAAGAATGCATGTGTTTAAAGATATTTTTTAGCAATAAAAAACACCTGTAGCGAGACAGGTTAGTTTAATACCACGCTGTGGAAAATATAAAGGTGCATTGTGTAACTTTTCTGCTTGAGGGTCTGCCAAATGATTTTCTCCATGGAGATATTATCGCTTTGTCTGAGATGTTTCACAGTATGGCATTAAACCTTTATATCATCATGGACACCAAACCACGTCAAGTTACAGGTCACATCTGTGGAGAGGAAATCTTGCTTTTTCTAGGTATTTTTGAGCAATAAAACCACACATAATTGAATAAATGCAAGGTAGATCTGTTTAATGCCATATTGTGGAACATTTGAAGCAGAGCAATGACATATACATAGAAACAAGCAGGTGTCGGACATCCAACTGAAAAGTTACATAGTGCACCTTTATACAGAAGCAATAACATCTCCATGGAGACAAATAGGTTGTGGGCCCTTTCCAGAAAATTGGTAGCCAGGCTGGCGTCACCTAGTGCCTCCGCTCAGTTTCATTTCTCTCCAGCGACTAGGTTAGGAATCAGAATACACTAGACGGTTTGCAAGAACCCTGGAAGTTGTCGACGGTGCACCAGCCAATCAGTGAAGAGCTGTGACTCCATGACGTCAAACTCAAGCGTCTGTCTGTGTCAATTTTGTGGCACAACACAACAGTAAACAAAGTGGTCGAGATGGATGTAGATGAAGACAGACATTCTGTGTTGGCAAAGATTCCCGAGATCGAGGATTTAAAGCAGAAACAATGAAAATGTTTGGTAAATTTTATCAAGGGGAAGGACCTTATTACCCTTCTTCCTATGGGATTTGTCGCATTACATACATCATGACCAAATAGCAGCGATTGGTTAAATTAAAAAAAAGTATCTACCTACCGTCGAGCAAATTAATCCTAATGCTGTGAAACTGGCATTGACTTAACTCTACAATTTTATCTTCAACCCCATTCCAATTTACCCAGGTGTCTTTGGGGCAACCTCTTTAGCTTCATGTTACCAACAAAGTCAAAACTGGGCGAGTGACCAGACGTCCCTATTTACCCAGGACAGTCCCAGTTTTGAGTCCTGTGTCTACCAACAGTAAAGAGGGGAATATATTGTCTTTTGTTTAGCTAAAATACAGAAAACTGATCTTGAAAATGACCATAAGAAACAAAAATGCACCAACATAAGTCCCTCAGATTATGACTGACCCACAAAGTAAGTTGTGAATGGACAATTACTTACAGTTACGCTCTCTTTTCTCAATTTTATTTATACCAGCCATCCCAACTTTTACTACTTTACTACCACCAGTTACCCCTCTGCAGTTTGTGTTAGTGCCATTAATAGACTGGTTAAAAAAAAAAACATGACAAGGATGTGTGAAAGGAACAGAGCAGAAGTGGCTGGTCGGAGCTGGCCAAGAAAGCACAGAAAAACAAAAGCTGCCTGTTACTATTAGCACTTCCTCAGCTCTTGTTTCCGTGGTGTTTTTATTGTGATGTGACTTTTGTTTTAACAGTCACTATTTACACCTGTGTCTTTTTTCAATGCAAGATGCCCACTGTTACAACTGCTCCTGCTCTCGAGGAAAAGGACGATTTCTGCAGAGAAGTAAGCAGGAAATGTAAGTTCTGTTATAAGGTGATGTAAGATGCTAGTGTTGTTTTATATTTTTAGTCCAAATGTAACTTATATATCCCCATTGTGGTTTTAAAATGACTGTTTAAAGGACCTGGAAATGGATTCATGTGAGGTTTACGCAAAGTTTAAGAGGCGTCTTTCCAGTATTATGGCCCCCGTCTATGGAACTGTCTGCTGGAGGAGCTCAGGGCTGCAGAGAACGTTCATGTTTTTAAGAGTAGGCTTAAGACCCACCTTATTAGCTTAGCTTTTGAATGAAATCTTATACTTTTGCTTGTTTCTACTGTACACATTTTATTATATTTATTTATTTTAGGCCTATTTTTAGGATTTCCAGTGTTTCCTCTGTAGGAGCCCTCTGTATCAGGAGGTCAGCTGTAGCTGTCGGGGTCTGTCCCGTGGGCTCCTGGTGGAGGGGTGGTGCTTTGGGCCTCATCTCTCCCCTGGACCCTGTGGTGGTTCCTGGTGGTGGTGGACGGCTCTCTGCTCCTGGTGTAGACGACTCCTCTGATGGTGCTTTCTCAACTGGTTCGCCTGTATTCAGTCTCACATTTTTTCTATGTGTAGTTTTATGTATTTTAGCATGTGAGTGTGTGTGTGTGTGTGTGTGTGTGTGTGTGTGTGTGTTTATGCTGTTTGGTTGTGTGGAGTCGGGCAGCTGTGGGGGTTGGGTGGGTGGGTGGAAATGTGGGATTGTTTTTAATCTGTGTAAAGCACTTTGTGTTACATTTTTGTATGAAAAGTGCTTTATAAATAAAGTTTGATTTGATTTGATTTGAAAGTTATGTTGTTCTCTCATCAAAAACAGACCAGGAGTTGTGTTTTGTTTCATTCACACATGTTTAAGTAATCCTTGTTTATTCGTCTGTCTGCATCTCCAAAGCTCAAAATGCTCTGTTCCACTTTGTGATGTCATGAAGTGGTAGTTTTCGAGTTATCAACTACCTTTTATGTTTAGTTCAGTCATCCATATGATTCTAGTGAAGGTATTTGGAACACTTCCTGTATGACCACGTGACATCACAAGGTGGTACAGAGTGTTTTCAGTTTGAGAGAAGAATTCCAGGTATGTTTTTGATGAGGAAACAACATTATACAGAAGATTTAGATCAGAAAATAGTGTAATATGAGCTCTTTAATGCTGTTCTAGCTTTGCAAAGTTGTTTAAAATTCACAACATTTGCTGAAATACCAGTAGCCATCTGTTATTCTTGGTGAAAGTGGTGCTTCTTTTTAATATCTTGTGAAAATGTTTCTTTTTTTTTTTTTTTTTTTTTGCATGTTTTACAGTGACCTGAAAACACACTGAAGTTGTTAATAAAAGTTTTTGTATTTTTTTTTTATTTTAGCGCTTAGAAATGTGCAGCCATCTTTGAACTTTCCAATATGTCTCCTATATAACTACCAACAAATCTGTTACCAAAGTTTTAACCACAGCTACAATGCAAAGAAGGAGTGAGCTACTGATACTGCTGTGCCATAACTCTAGGTCAGGGGGGTCAAACTCATTTTCACCCAGGGCCACATTTGGATCATGTTTGTCATCAATGGGCCGGTTGTAAAGTTAAGACTGAAACTGTAACTGTAATATCGGTGTGTTACAAATCTGTAAAAGTCTGTATTTGATATTTTCATTTCATTTATGTTTTTTATCTTTTTATTATTTACTGGTATTCTTGCTCTTATTTGATTGTACTAGTTTTATTGTCTTAATGAGGACTAGTAGAGTAAAGTAGAGCTTTACTTTATATTTCTATTGGATATGTTTTATCTGTATTGTGCAGCACTTGGGAAACTGTTTTGTTTATGAAATGTGCTGTAGAAATAAAGTGGATTGGATTTGATTTAAAGGTTTAAGTTAAAACATTCACATTACTCCTTCATTAACATTCATGAAGTAGCCGTCCTTCTGCATCAGTTTTTCTTTACTTGGACATTTTTGGGGAAATTTGATGAGTTTTCTTAGCCTCTATAGTGGCGAGATGGAGTCACTTCACGGGAAACAACTGTGGTGCATTGTGGGAGATGTAGTTGCAGCACAGAGTCACAACATAATAATAAATTGTACCTTTTAACCCCTTGGGGCCTGGGCCTTGCCACATGTGCTCTAGTGGGTTGTACATGTATCTCTGTTGGCCAAATGCTCATCAGTTGCCAAGCGGACACATTAGCAAAAACTGTCAAAAAAGTTTTAAGATACAAAGAAAAAGGAAAAATATGAAATGGCTTTAAACAGCACATTTTCAGGAGCCTGTGATCAGTGCGAGTGTACATGGTCCTGTTTAGGAGTTTGATTTTCAACAAAAAGGTGAGAGTGACGAACTGAAAAACTGTTGGATAAAGCTGAGTAGCGTGTGACTGTTATGTTATGTGAGAGGGACTTGTTTTACAGCACAAATCAGCTCATTTATTGTACTTCCAGCTGAGTCAGTTCATTAAGGTCAGACTGTGTTTAAATTAAAGCTCAGATTAAAGTTGAATAGAGCTTCAGACAGAGCAGTGCCTCTAGTTAGCATCACAACCCCAGGGAATGTCATCAGCTGCAAAGTATCAGTAACTTGGACTAACTTTCTCGCCTCACAGCAAGATGGTCGCCGGTTCAATTCCCAGTTGTGTTCACACTGTGGAGTTCGGTTGTTTTTCTTGAGTGTCAGTGGGTTTCCTCCTTCAGCCTAAAATGTGTTCAGAAGGTTAATTCTCCTGATAGATCTCACCCAAACTTCACCCAAGAACTGGAGATGGATCCCGGGTGCACTGCTCCAGGTTGCTCGGGCGACACTGAAGGATGGGTCAAATGCAGAGGACACATTTAGTACACATGAGGTTAGTGAAGTTTCTTTTTTTGTTATGTTCAAAATGTTTCCAAATCTCTAATGTTGTTTCCTCAGCACTAACAGACCTGGAGTTGTGTTTTGTTTCATTTACATGTTTAACACACAAACTCTGCATATTTAGGCTGAGTTCTTCTCTCAAACAGAAAACATTCACTTCCACCTTGTGATATCGTGTAATAATACAGGAAGTGCTCCAGTGTGTTTTCAAACTCCATACACCTTCAGTAGAATCATTTGGATAATTTCAGCCCTGGAATTGGTCATTTCTTCTGGGAAAAAATAAAAAATAAAAGGTAGTTGTATGTTAAACATGTGTGAATGAAGCAAAACACAACTCCGGGTCTGTTTTTTGGTGAGGTAACAGCATTATAAAATAGATCGGAAAATAGCATAATATGAATAATATATGTCATTTAAAGATGCACTATGGGTAACACTTTCTACTAACTACACCTTATTTAGCCTAAATAAAGCATGACTTAATAATGAACAAATACTTAATGAAGAATCATTCAGGCTTAATAACAATTTAATTACTACCTTAATTAGCACTTAACTTGCACTTAATTAGAATGTGCTGTAAATTGCTCATGATTATTTCATGCTTAGTAACTCATGAACTAAGAATTTGTGTGTGTATTTGTAAATGCATATTTAAATGAGAGAATGATTTACTAAAACTGCAACACAATGATCATTCAGGCACCTATTATTCTTTAGTTAAATCTTTTTTGCTAATAGCTGACATTGAGACTTAGAGAGAGATTGAGACTAGAGATGTGTTTCATATTTTCCCTGTCATTTTTTAAAAGACGTAACAGAACAAGGCAGAACACCTTTTTCTTTGCCAAAAAGACCACACTTCTGCCTGCATTTCCCGTTTTAACCAGATATGGTATAAACCTTACGCATGGGACTTTTGCGGTCCTGTGTCTTATTTCAAGAATGTTTTCTCCTGTGTCTATCATTTCTGGTGTCAGGTTGTGGGTTTCATGGCCAATTTATACAGCTCATTATTACGGCACACGTGTTGGTATCAGGTGACACCAAAAGCTCCATAATACCACACTGTGTGCACGTGTTTCTTTCAACGCATGGCACTGCGTGTCTTGTGCGTCTTTGGGGGAAGATTCAGCGTGTACCAGATACCTGTGCGTTTTGTGTGCACCGTGGGGGAAAATAGACAGATTTGGCGTGCAACACATAAGATATCATTCATCAACCTACATATTTTAATACTTTTAACTGCCCTGCCAAAATTTAAGAGCAAAATGTTGGTTTAACCCTTAACAATCAGTGCATTGCTCTGTGCGAGCCGTTTTCTTCAGATGCAGCTCCATGACCGTGACACAATGATGATAAATGCTGGTCTGCAAGCAGACAGCCATAACATATTTATTTAAATGTCACATTTCTAATAATTATTCTTTCTTAAATAGCATTTGCCAGCATGCTCTGCATTTGGGAAACCAAAGCAACCGTCCATCAGGCACAGATCTACTGTATATTCTCACGATCAAAAGTATCACTGACAGTGGATTCATGTACATGGATCATGGATTCAAGTTTCATGTGCAGGATGGTAGTTTAATATTGTTCTAAAACCATGTTTCTGCAAGGCTTCAAAAAGCTTTCCCTGGACTGGTTTTCCAAACAAGTTTGGATGTGATAAATTAAAAGTAACACTGGAACAAAAGCATTGCATATCTCATTACATATTGACAAATCTGTAAAATGACTTGGCATACTGAACATAGTCTAATAATACACCGTATATACAAATGGACATAGCTAACACTCTAGCGGCACGTGCCAAATAGGAAGCTCGCGTGCAGACTCTTGAGGCTCCTCCTGACCCTCATCTGTTCAGTCGTAAAATGTTTGTATTAACCCCCTATACATGATCCTGGCAGGCAAAGACACCAACAGAAGGGCTCGTTCTGCATCGGGCTGGTGCATGGATGGGTACACACTTGTTGGTAAGATGTAAAAGTGTTTACAAAAAAGTATTAGCCACTGTTGATTTAATTACTAACTAATGGTCTTATTTAGACATTTCTTAATCATTATCACATGCCTAAATAATTTGAATATTCTATTATGATTACTTGACCAGCCTTAACAAATACTTAACTAGTCTTCACTTTAGAAAAGCTCTCAAGATTTAACGAACAGATAACAGGTGCCTGAATGATCACGGCATTGCAGTATTAGTAAATCATTCTCTCATAGCTTACTAATGTGTACTCAAATGTGTACTTAAATATGCATTTACAAACACACAAACAAATGGTTAGTTCATGAGTAACTAAGTATGAAATAATAATGAGTAACTACAGCACAGGCTAATTAAGTGCAAGTTAAGTGCTAATTATGGTAGCAGTTCAGCTGTTAAGATTGAATGTCTCTTAATTAAGTATTTGTTCATTATTAATTAAGTCTTTGTTCATGCTTTATTAAGGCTAAATTAGATGTAGTTATTATATAGTGTTACCACACTCGATAACTTTTTGGTTGAGGTCCGACGTTTGCTTGTTTCCATGGATATGTCATTGCTCTGCCTGGAATGTTCCACAGTATGACTTTAAAGCTCAAAATACCTAGCAAAAATAGACATTCTGACTGTGAGAGGGGTCGCCTCGCCACAGATCTGACCTGTAACTTGATCTGGTCTGGTCTCCATGAACATAGAAAGGTTTAATGCCGTACTGTGAAACATTCCAGACAAAGCAATAACATCTCCATGGAGAAAAGCATTTGACGGACCCTCCACCAGAAAGGTTACACAGTGCAGCTTTATCTAATAAACAGTGAACAGTTCTTATTTTTCCATACACAGCAATGCTATTTGAATTTGTGGACAGGTTTGCAGATAGACAGGCACGTGTGGAATGACTTTTTTATTGCGCGATTAGTTTTTCAGACAAGACTTCTCCCCGAAACACCAAAACAAACAGCAATGTACAAAACAGCAACACATCCTTAACCTTTTGCCGTAAACAGAAATTTAATAAGGAGGTGAGAGAGCGAAAACAAAACAAAAAACAAAATAAAATAAAACTGTGGGACGAAATGTGGAGATTTTTGAGATGAGTTTAATATTTCCAGGGGGGGGGGACTTCGAAGCCAAAATCGAAAGCACCATTGTCATGTTTAAAGGCCCTGTACCTGATTTTCCCCCATGAATTTGAACGAAATGTGCCTTGCCCCAGTACTGATTTATTGTAGGTTTGTTTTGTCTTGAGGTTAAAGTAAGTCCGCTGTGTACTGTCTGTATCTAGTTTGTTAACCAGGAAGTGTGTATTAGCATGCTAGCTGTTGTTAGCATTACCGTGGTGGCAGAACTGGTTACTGAGAGCTCTGAAACATGCTTATAAACTCATTGCGGTGAATAATTAGAAGGCGCTGAATGCATAAGATAAGCGAGGAGTAACTGCAAACTGTTTTAAATGAACTAGTTGTGTTTTTCATGTTTTTAAGACAATAAAAATCAGCTACAGTGCCTTTAAGTTCAGGAAAAAGGCCTTATTTTCGTAAAAAGAAAAACAGGATTTTAAGGGATTTCCAACAGGATACAATAGGGGTGTTATCACAGTTTTCAGACATTTTTACCAACTAAAAACATCGGTGTAAGCACTATTTTAATCATGCAAGTACTCAGTAAACCCTCCAGTACACAGACAAAATATACTTCAAGAAAAACTCAAAAAACTGTCCAGCAATTGACACAAAGCTCGGTTTATAATGTGAGATCCCTATCAAAAATAATATGCAGATTTTTTACCTTCTTATATATCTAAAGTGCAAGTTTTTATTCAATGCTTTTTGTTAAGTAGAAAAGAAAGGAAACAGCAATATGTCATAGGTATTTTTGTTTTTTTTTTGTACACATTTTCTCTTCTGAAATAATCATTAGCGTCCAATATAACAAACCATATATTTATATAATATTTACTGTATATACACGCACACACACGCACACACAGTTTAAAATATTTTCCAAATTACAACATAGTATCTCTAATGGGGAGGTGACGTGGGATATGTTCTTTGTGCATTGACCCCGCTCTTAAAGGGACAGCAACGCCGTTTGGTAAAAAGTGGGTCAAAGAGATGTTTAAGACAGAGAAGCTAGAGCTGGTAATTTTGAGTGAGTTTGGAGAAGGAGACAAGGAGACGAGGAGCGAGGAGACAAGGAGCTAGAATGCAGAAGACAGGAGCTATTCGGCAGTAGGAAAGACTTAGGAGACATGGAGCTAGGAAACAGGGAGGTAGAGAACAAGGAACGAGGAAACAAAGAGCAAAGAAACAAAGACTTGGGTGACACGGAGCTAGGAGACAAAGAGATAGGAAACGAGGAGCTAGGATGCAGGAGACAGGAGGTATTTGGCAGTAACAAGGAGATAGGAATTAGGAGCCAGGAGATAAAACGAGGAGACGCATGCGCTAATAGCTAGGAGACAAGGAGGCAAGGCTTAGAAGAATAGGACATAAGAGACGAGAAGCTGGGAAAGATGACCTAGGAAACAAGGAACTAGGACACAGGAGAGAAGGAGACAAAACAAGGAGACAGTCAGCTTGGAGGCAGGAGTTAATAGCAAGGACACAAGGAGGATAGAGAAGCTAGGAGACAAGACTTAGGAGACAAAGACCTCTTTCCAGGCTTCTTGTCTCCTAGGAAACAAGGAGCTAGGCTGCAGGAGGCGAGAGCAGAGGAGACAAAGACTTAGGAGACAAAAGAAAGAACACAACTGGCACGGAGCAAGGAGCTTAGGAGTCAAAAAGGATACAGAAGCTAAGAAAAGAGTTAGGAGACGAAAGTAACGAGGCAATAGACTTGGAGGTAGGAGACAGGAGTTTGGAAATGGGATGGGAGCGAAAAAGTAGGAGACAGGAGCTAGGACACAGGTAGGATAGAGGAGCGAGGAGGAAAGAAGGCAGGAG